TACAATTTCTAATTACTAATTGTTAATTTGCTACTAACTAAATTAGTGTGTGTTTCGCTACAATCATCAATGTTATTTATTTATATAATTATTTTTGTGTTCGCATTTATTATACGCAATTGTTTTTGCATTTAATTTATTGTACAAGTAAATATATTAATAGTTTTGAATTACATTTAATTTAATATTCCGTTTGTATGTATGTATGTATATACGTAATATATGTAACTACGCAGTGATTTTGTCACTAACCTAACAATTAGATCGCTGCCCTTAGTACAGTGTGATTAACTACTCTAATTACGTTCATAATTTATTTGCAAAACATTCACATACATACCGACATATCTGTTAGTATGTATGTATGTATGTGCATATGTTGTTTAATACATCCGCACGTTTTTAATGCAAACAGCTTTGCTAGTTAAGTTAGTTTCACATACCATGTATGTATGTATGTATGTATGCCCGTTTTTTTTTTACCTTTGCATTGCGAATCTTTCAAATTTTATGTTTGTGTATTACATACTTTTAAAAGCTCATTCCCCATTTTTGTATGCTCACGTGCAAACTTTTTGTTTGAGCTACAAAAATTTCCATAAATCACTGATTTGGCCGAGTAACTGTAACTCTCTGATTGTGGAGATATGATTCTACTATTTAAAAAAAAAAACAGCTTGTTTTTTGCGTCGCAACGCCGCAAGTGTATTGAATTTTCTTCTGCAATCCATTGTTTACGCGCAATAAAGTAGTTTTCCAAAATTTTGTTTTTTTTTGTGTTTGGTTTCTGCAGTAAAAAAGAATGTGCTTTTTATTCACACCTCTAAAGTACGCAACGATTTTAACTACAAACAAATTTCAACTACATATTTTCGTGCGTAATTTTCGTTTAAAGCCTTTTTGATGTGAGTTTTATTTGTTGTTGGCATTTTTTTTTGCGCTTAATGTACGTACTGCTTTCTACATTTAAATATCTAAATAGTATGTACACCACACACAAAAGGAACAATTTATGTATTTTGAACACTGATTGTGAGCCTGTTTCAAATTTTCATTAGCAGCTTAGAGACTAAATATGTGTATAACATTTAAAGTTCTACTGTGCGTATGTATGTATGTATGTATGTATGTAAGTTTGTATGGATTCTGTTGACACTTAAACGCTTCAAAAGACGCAAGTTCTATACTCCACTTTACACCTCGATCACACTTACTGTATATAGGAAAAAGTCAAGTGTAACTAAGTTTTTGTGCTTTTCGTATACGAATTTTTAAATATTTTTTTCACGTGCTCGCTTTTTGTATGAGAAGTGCACATTATGTTTTAATATTAATTCCATGAGCATTAGTAGGCCTCAATTTTCAAAAAAAAAAAAATCGCTGGCGATCTCGCTTGGTAGAAGTGGTAGGCAAACATACAATACAAAATGACATATGTATGTACACTTGTGTAGAAGATGGTGTGCTTTGAGCATTTTTCCGGAATAATAGCAACGAAGGCAAAACTTTTGGACAGTCTTGTACAGTAGAAACGAGCTTTTTCTAGCGGATGTTGTAAAAGCCTATAAATTCCTTGAACTTTTCCGAAACTTTAACAGTGTGTTTCCACTATCCTCAAATTACGCAATTTCGATTCTGAACGAATGTATTTTTGTTTTTGTTCTAAACTACATATTTCTTTTGTTCTGTTTATCTGCCATAAATTCTACTTTCAATTTTACACAAATTAAGATACGTATCGCGTTTGCAGTGGAAATTGAGTAAATGTAGTGTCCGAATTGCGTAATTTGGCATGTGTGAAAACACTCCATAACATTTTCAGCTGTCTCTCAGTATATTTTTATGCTTTCTAGGACAAAAACAAAACAAAAATTTATTTGTGGTTAATATTGAATTGCAAATTTGTATGTATGCGCATGTACATATGTTTGCGCAAGTTTGTATGTAAATACATAGTTTTGTATATGTGGAATTAAGAAACATTAAATTATTTATGAATATGTATGTATTTAAATTAGCAACTGTTTGAAGCACTTTATTCTATGGCACATTTAAGTTCATACTTTTTCTTATGTTTGCAGTATGTATGTATGTGGATATTTATGCATTCTATGTTCTGTATATAAAAGTTCGCTAAGTTTGTAGTTACATACATAAGTATGTAAGCATAAATGTTCGTATATAAAAAGTGAAACGTTTTATTTGAGTGTGTCTATTTTATGGTTGCGCATTTAGTTTAAAAAAAGTAGTACCACGGAAAGTATGCCAAAGGCCGTTAAAGCATTCGAAACTTTAACTTTTCTACTTAGTCAATTTTCCAAATGGAGTGAATTTTCAGTTAGTCAAAAAGAAAATGTTTGATCAAAAATTTGATTAAAAAAAAAAAATACTTAAAAAACGAATAGTTAAAGCATACAAATTTTCAAAGGCGTAACATTTTTTGATGTATTTCACATAATTCATGTCGAATCGGTTTTTTTTTTTTAAGTCGAAGAAGTACAACTTTGTAATTTTGCTCACATAATTTGCATGAACGTTCACGTATACGTATTACATTAGCCACACACATACGTATGTATATGAATATTAGCAGAGGATCTAACTTTTTTCTCTTTCATGACAAATTCTTGGGAAACTATTTTATACAAGAAAACATTAACATTGCCCCTTTGAAATATTTTGCAAATTTAAATTTGTTCAAACTACTTATTGCGGCTATATTTACTAAGGTAGCTACAAAATTCATAATCAATTACATTATCTATTCAAATTAATTTATTTCTTTTTCAAAAACAGCGCTCACTTCCTGTGTATTTTCACTTGTTTTGGCCTCTTTAAGGGGTTTTTAGTAGCTACTCTGGCTATGCATACCAATAACTTCAGTTTTTTTCACATATAAAACAATTCATTCCTGGGCTTGAGTTTATTAGCGAGTGCGTGCTTGTGCGCCTAAAATTATGCCTCCCACACTTTGTTTCTGTGTGGTAAATCAGTTCTCAACCGATTTAATGCATGCAATGCCTTGCATTCTCCATATCTCTCTCTCTCTCTCTCTTTCTCTATTAGCTCTATACATAAACATACATATAACATATTTATTGTTTTATATAAATGTCTGTATATATTTATATGTAAGTTTGTATTTATATGTAAGTTTGTATATCCTACGTAGCGTATGTTCGCAATAAATCTGTACTAGTACCTATACTAGTATACAATATTGTTAAACAGAGTTGCACTCTCCACATTCAATTTTTATGTACTTGCTTGCATATCAACATACATATTTACATGCAAGTATGTATACATACATATAGCGCGTATACCTAAACTAAATTGTTAATTAAATTGTTTATTTAGTTTTTTGTGTGTTTCCTTTGTCCGGCGTCGTCGTTCATACATACATATACATATATGTATAAATTAATTATACATAGTATTCCTAAAGTGAAACAAATTTAGTTTGTTTGCATTCCCCATCATCCACATTTATTGCTGGCGAGCTGCGCTGTGTGCGTTGCGTTGCGTTGCGTTGCATTGTTGGCGTTTAGCTTCTGCTTCGCAAAAGGGCTGTGAATGTGACTAGTACTGCGGCGCCGGCCAGCAGCGAGCTCAGGCGGCTGGGACACGCGGCGGTGAGCGGCGTCGCCGCGGATTCTTGACGTGGCTCGATTTCATTGTTGGTGATCTCGGTTGGACCCAACGGATCGAATGGCGATGAGGTGGCACCTGTAAAGCGAATTGAAAAGTATGAAATAATTGAAAATGCTTTTTAGATTTGTATATGTATGTATGTATGTATGTATGTATGTTTGTGTCCTACCATCGCCAGATCCATCGCCTGAGCCATTCTGGTTGCCGTATTCCTCGTCATCCATGTCGTCGGGCATGTGGCCGCCGGAGCCCTCCTCATCGTGGCGCGCCATATCGCTCTGTATGTCAGAGTATGAACGCGTGGTGGATGGTATCTAAGTGGGAAAATAATGACGATTATGAATACGTATGTATTATTTTTCGTATTTTTGGCGCGCGCTCGACTTACCGCCGTTCCGATGTTCTTGCGCACCTTGATCAACTTGTCCACCAGTTCATTCAATTTCGTCGATTGCGAGCTTGGCACCAGCGGCACCTCGGGATTGTACCGTTGTGTGTCTACACCTTGGGTCATCACTAGTTGGGTGTAGTCGCCAACACGATCGCCTGTCCAACAGTTGTGATCATTTCGTTGGATGTCATCGTCTTCGCACACACTGTGCAAGCATAGCAAAGTGGAAAATAGAGAATAGAAGAAAAAAAAAATGAATGAAAGATTTGATTGTCATCGGTTTTCTTCTATTTCATTTAATTTTCTATTATTTAAATCTAGAAAATATCGATTTTAATTGTTGTGTCGTCGAAATTCTGTAAGAATAACAAAATCCTAAAGCCCAAATGTTAACATCTTTTGTTCGTGGCACCCGCGATACCATACATGCCGTCTTTCGGCCGAAGCCAGCGCCGCCCATGAAAGTGGTAAGTTTTTAAATATGTACTATGTACGACTCCTATATGTATGTAATTCAAAACTATGATCTTTTTAAAAAATCTGCATTTCAATCCTTTCTCTGATTTCACCAATCAACCATCATCGCATCATCGCATCATCGCATCATCGGTCGTTCGTTGGTTCGATGACCCGCTACAGTCATGCATGTCCATGTCCAATAAGGAGATGATCTGTGACGTTATATTTTTCAGCGCAGCTATTTTAGCGCCTCTCTACTATACTGTGTTGCGCGATCTTCTGCGCAAGATTCGGAATGTAAATTACAAAATAGTACGTGTAAAAAATTAACGGTAATAAAAGTATTACAGTAATGGGTTAGTACAAAAAATTAAGATCTCTGTGTTTCATTTATTAACCGACTTCAAAAAAAGGAGAAGGTTATCAGTTCGTCGGAATATATATCTACATATTTTTTTTTTTATGTATATTACCGCGTTACTTTGAACCACGTTAACCGATTACGATAATTCTTCTATCGTGTCTCACAGATGGTCCCATACTAATTTGGTTTAGATCCGATTATTGGATCATGAAAAAATTAACGGTAGTCTTAAATTTATTTTTTTGCTTAAAAATTACTTGTTATACAATTGTCTACAATTCTTGTGCAAGTACTCACTTGTTGACGATGTTCGAGTAGAATTCCTTGGATTTGTCTATGGTTGATTGGAAGTGCAGAATTTCCGCATCCGGTGGGGTTGCCCATTTAATGTTGTGCGGCTGCAGAGGGCGTAGATCATTGTCCGCTGTTAGTGAGGGCAAAAGTTTTGGCGTGCCACATGTTTTCTTGACCTGCGAGATGAAAAGAAAAAAAAAATTTTAAATAATTGGAATAGTGATCAAATTGGAGAATGGCTTAAGTATGGTTAGATTGGGCTAGTTTATGTTAGATAGGGTCTCCGCAAGATAAAGAAACGATGCCTAATGAGCAAAAATAGAAAGTGTAACTGTGAAAGTCTGCTTGAAAGTTCCTCTGGCATGCAATTTCACCGCATCCCACCTAAACCAACTGCCATAGAAAGAACTTGAGACCATGTAGAGCATAACCATCATATCTCCATTTAGCTGTATGACTAAGGTTAGTTTCGAGAACTATTTAAAAATTTACTTTATATAAGGCTCCCAAATAAGATCCCCAGTCTCCGCTGGAGCTAAACTCGGTGTAGATTGTTCGATTCAAGAGGGAATGCATTTATCGACCAAAGTGGCCTTCAGACTAGAGATGCGCGCGGGACTAAATATTCAACACCGATTCCACCTATCCCGATATTGAATTTTTCGGTCCCGAAGACAAAGTTTTTTTAGATTTGTACGGCGGATCCCCTGGCCCCAACAACTATCACTAAAAAAATGCACACGTCTTTCTCTTTCTCGAATATTCCGCTTTCGTCATTCTGAAATATCTGGCATCTTCTGGTTATTTTATTTTGCTTGCCGTTCATTTTTTACACAGTATAATTTTTAAAGGTGCTAATTTCATATAGCGTTTTACCAGGGGCCTATTTCATAAAAGTGACAGGTGCGACAATTGTCGATTTTTCTATAAAATTTCACTGCCAGAATTGTTGGCGAAATTTTTCACATTTCGTATACGTTTGTAGGCAACTGTGAAAATTTTTGGAAAACAACATTGATAATATGGAATATTGTCGACAATTGTGCTGACAATTGTCACTCTAACAAAATTGTCGTGACAATGGCGACAAAACCAAAACCAAATATGGTAATTGCGTGCATTCCATTACTTTTCAATAATTATAATATTTCTTAAAACTAAAATAATGCAAATGCAAGTATTACATATCATTTACATATAAATTTCATATGACTGGCGACAACTTTGTCAACGACAATTTTAAAACACGACAATGACAATTTGTCACTTTTTCAATGGAATTTCTCATGGAGTTTAAGAGGTTGTTTTCATGAAACAAAACACCCACACCACCAAACTGTCAAATTGTCACGGACAACATGGAATATGCCTGTCATTCAGGGTTCGGATTTGCCTCATTTTGGCCCCTCGCTCGCTCGTTAGTTTGCTCTGAGTTAGCGCAACTCACGAGGAACACGCGAGGCTGTTTGCAAATGAGCACTCGTTAGGTACGAGCGCACGCGATGAGTAGCCAGCGAGCGAGTAAGCAAGCGAGGGCGGCGCAAGAGTAGAGCGGCAAGCAAACGAGGGCCTCATTAGCTCTGCCCTCGCGAGAGGGGCGTTGCGAGCGAGGCACTCATTTGCAGCAGCAGACGAGCGAGGCGAGTAAACGAGCGAGGGAAATGAGGCAAGCAGATTAGACAGGCAAACGGGTTGTTTGGTCAGCAAAAATGTATGGGATAAAAATTGCATCAACTAAGAATTTAGAGCAAACGATTCTATGCACACATGTAGATATGTATATACATACATATATACACATATGTATGTATTTATTTATGTATATATTTTCATGCACAGAAGAATAGATGCGTGCTATTTTTGCCAGTTTTATCTACTAGGTAGGCTCATATGTGCATACATATATATTACTATGTACTTATACGCACGTATTATTCGCAAATAACAATTTGCAAAATGGTAAAATTTGCCGTATAAACGCTGAGTTAACTTTTTATTTGCAAATAACTAAATCACGCAAATAAATATTGATTAGTGCTACTATTTGCAAATAAGCCCAAGACGCCGCCATTCTTAGGTTTATTTTCTTTTTCGATTGTCATCTTATTGCCTTTTTATAATCAAGACGTTGCCATTTTAAACTTTATTTTCTTTTTCGATTGTCATATTATTGCCTTTTTATAATCAGGCAATATTAAAAAAGAATTTTTCACCATCGAATAAACAGTGAGTTAGGTATTAGCAAATTATTTTTATTTGCAAATAGCTTACGTATAAACGTAGTATATGTAGGTATAGTTTTTTTAATTTTCAATAGCTTATAAAATTTCAACTTATACACTTAGGTCTCTTTTTATGTGGTTCTTTTTTATGCGGATTTGAATTTATGAGGTTTTTCAAACATTTTTTTCACTGTATCGATTTTGCTTCTTTGAGAGTTTTTATTACTTTTTTGCAATCAATTTTTCTTACATAATTCATGCATTTTTTATGATATTTTTTGTTTTGGTTAAAATACAGAAGTGAAGAAATAAATTGTTTTTTTTTTTTGAAGTATCTGAATTTATGCGGGTTTTGAAAATGCTGGAACGCATCTCCTGTTCTTGTATGAAATTAAAGAACTTTTTTATGCGGCTTTCTGAAGAACGCATCTACCGCATAAAAAAGACCTAAGTGTACATGAGAGACAGACCATACAAGTCCAAGCAAGTTTCATACTTTGTAAAAAGATTTGAAAATTTCAACAAAGTTTTAAACTTTTTAATCACATTTATATGTAGAGCAATGCTTGGTGTGTAGTTTTATAGCATAAATATATCATTCTCACTCGAAAAATATCATAATTGTGTTTTTTTTAATAATTTTGGAAACATTTCAAGTAGAATGTTCATATTTTTCCATTTAGGTGCCTATGTCTGCATACATACTAGGTAGCATCCATGGGCGGAGGGTAGGGAAAATCCGGGAAACGCAAACTAGCGAGCATATAAAGCGGGTAAACCAAACGGGGGCGATGTGAAGTAGGTAAAAGCTGAGTGGACAAAGGGGAAAAAACGAGACATCAAAGGCAAACAATTTACTCAGGCAGGCAAACGAAGTAACGTAATGGTAAGTACATATATACGGTGGACGGCTGCTTTGAAATTCAACGCCAACGCAACGCCAAAGTTGTATTCTTTGTTTACGCAAATACATATCCATACATACATACATATGTACATATGTCCTTGAACAACAGGCCACAAATAAATTTTTTCTCCAAGGATTATATTTCATTCAGGTATACAGCATAACTGCTACAAGTAGCAAACTATTTTGGGGTGCTAACAAGTGCTTACTTGTTTTTTGTTTCTGCGGCACAAACGATTATCTATACTATCTTCGTTACTTACTTTTCTCTGTAAAGACAAAATACATGCATATGTACATACATACATAAATACATACATACATACATATATAAATATGCATGTTATGTATGTATATAACTCTAAAAAATATCTCATTCCATAATCTGTGCTTACGTATGTAATAAATTTTATTTGTTGTTTTAAAAGCTGCCCTAATATCGAGCCCTAACCGCCAAAATAACGTAAGCGACATTTTTTTCAAAATTTTCTTTTTGATGCAGAAATATTCCTAGAGCATCTAGGTACATTTCAGCATCAAAAATAAAATTTTGAAAAAAATGTCGCTTACGTTATTTTGGCGGTTAGGGCTCGATATAATATTCACATATTTATATGCATATGTACATATGTACATACAATTATTAACATACTTTCGTACATAATCTATTGACATACATTCCCGCATTTTTATGCACAAAAATGCATGTGTTGTATAGTGCACTCGGAGCGCTCGCTCCTCGCTCACTCGTCTTACCTAGCAGAGCGAATATGCAGACAGCTACTCGCCTCGTACTGCGAGCGAGGCAACACACAACAGCCTCGCTCGTTTAATAGGAGCGCGAGGAAACAAGCAGCGCTCGCTCGTTTAGCGAGCGAGGCAAACTTCACGTGCCTCGCCTCATTGCTGCTACGAGTACGAGCTGCGAGCGCCTCGTTGTCTGCGAGGCATTGAGTAGGAGTTTGCTCGCTCGCTCGCTCGAACTCCGAGTTTTTGCCCACCCTGCTGTCATTACAAAATTATCATTGTCGCTTTATGAAATAGGCCCCAGGAGTGTCGATACATACCGTCCATCCGGGCCATTTTAAAATTAGTACGTGGGTCCCGCGGGTCCCGATATCCCGTTCCCCTTTTCTACTTCAAAGCAAATAGTGTAGTTTACGGTCTGATTGGTTTAGCTCAGTGGGACCAACCAAAAAACAAGGACATACGAACTTTTTTCTTAATTGATATGATTATCGACATAATAAACTTTCCGCTTTTTCAAGCGGATAACCTTTCCTTGTGGGGTTGCCCCAAACATATGGTACTATATCTCGAAGACCGAAAAATTTCAGCTAAAGACAATAAAGTAAAGATGTGAGAGCTTCCATATCCGAATGCTTAGTTTGAGAAATTTTCAACGCAGTTAAAGAAGAACAATGTTCAAAACTTATTAACTTGGAGGCTCCACAGACGTTTCGTATGAATGTCACACACGCAGGCATTTTTTTGAGTACACAGTTCCCACATCTAATGGTATCTTTGTAATGAAAATGTCCAAGTTGCAGCATGGTCATGCCACACACAGACAATTAAATTCTAATAAACATGAATATGTACATGCAGTGGTGGCATTGTGGCATTCGGACGCAGTCAACAGATCCATGGACGACTAACTGTTCGCATCGAAGTATCCCACAGTTTTTCGATGGCTCATTGATGCATGCATAAGCACATACATATGTATGTATGTAGGTACACCCGTGCGACATATGTACATACATGCACATACGGTCATTGTTAAGCGTCCATATATGTATGTATATCAATGGATACCACCACCATCACTATCGAGTGGAAAATATTTGAAAATTCTGGCTTTGAGGGCTGGTGCGGTTATGCAGTCGCAGTGATTGCTGTTGTTTGGTGTAATTTACGAAAATGTAAACATTGGCCAGGTAATAACGATGTGTGGTGCATAATAATGAATGGGCACCTAAGCTTTTGTTTGTTGGCATGTATGTATGTATGTATGTACGTGGAGTTGTGTGTATATACCCAGTAC